AACCTGAGTTTGGGGAAACTCAGGCTCGAGTTTGAAGATTTCCAAATTCGGGTCCGAGTTGCCAAACCCAGGCCCGTTTTCCCCCAACTCAGGCCCATTGGGGCCTGCGTTCACTCTTTAAAGTCAGGCTCCTTTTCTCCAAGTTCAGCCTTGTTTTCTCTAACTCAGCCCGTTTTCTCCAAACCGTGGATGACTTTGCAGACTCTCTAAACTGAGGCATGTGTTCTCCAACAACTCACCCGAGTTTCGAAAATCTCCAAGCGCGCCGCCCGAGGTTGGAGAAAACGGACCTGAGGTTTGAGATTCTCCAAACTCGAACTGAGTATCGAATTTTGGCAAACTCGGGCCCGAGTTTGGAGAAAAAGGGCTCGAGTTTGGAGATTCTCCAAACTCAGGCCCGTTTTCTCCAAACTCGGGATGAGTTTGGAAATTCCCCAATCTCAGACAGATTTTCTCCAAACTTAGGCCTGCGTTCGGAGATTCTCCAAACTCAGTTCGGAGATTCTCCAAACTCAGTTCGGAGATTCTCCAAGCTCAGTTTGGAGATGCTCCAAACGCCGGCCCATTTCCTCCAAACTCGGGTGCGCTTGCAGATTCTGAGATTCTCCAAGCTCGGGCCCGAGTTTGGAAAAAACGGGCCTGAGTTTGGAGATTCTCCAAACTCGGGCCCGTTTTCTCCAACCTCGGGCTGAGTTTGGAGATTCTCCAAACTCCAAATTTCAATGTTTTTTTCTCCTGCAGAACGCTTATTTTGCCCGACAATCTCCATCCGAACGCTTATTTTCTCGAGAAAAACACTTGCCGAACGCTTCTTCGCGTGTTTCACAAAATGAGTTTGGAGAAAACGGGCCTGAGTTTCGAGATTCTCCGAACTCGGGCCCGTTTTCTCCAAACTCGGGGTGAGTTTGGATTCTCCGAACTCGGGCCCGTTTTCTCCAAACTCGGGGTGAGTTTGGAGATTCTCCAAACTTAGGCCCGTTTTCTCCAAACTCTGAGTCCAAACTCTGAGTTTGGAGATTCTCCGAACTCGGGCCCGTTTTCTCCAAACTCGGGGTGAGTTTGGAGATTCTCCGAACTCGGGCCCGTTTTCTCCAAAATCGGGGTGAGTTTGGAGATTCTCCAAACTTAGGCCCGTTTTCTCCAAAATCGGGGTGAGTTTGGAGATTCTCCGAACTCGGGCCTGTTTTCTCAAAACTCGGGCTGAGTTTGCGGATTCTTCAAAGTCAGGCTTGTTTTCTGCAAACTCAGGTTCAGTTTAGAAGTTCTCCAACCTCGGGCCCTGTTCCTCCATTTTCCAAACTCGGAGAGCTTCTTGGCTTCGTACAAAGAGTTTGGACTAACCAGGACTGACAAGTCTTCTTCAAACTCAGGCCCATTTTCTGCAAACTGGGGCCTGCGTTTGGAGATTCTCCAAACTCAGTTCGTTTCTCCAAACTCGGCCCGAGCTTGCTCCAAACTCAGTCAGGGCTGTTTTCTCCAAAGTCGGCTGAGTTTGGATAATCTTCACGCTCAGGCCCGTGTTTTGCAAACTCGCCTGGCTTTGCGTGCGAAGACGCGTTTCGCAAATGTATTGCTGGCGACTATCCGTTTTTCGATGGTAATTGAATGGGTCAATCAAGGGTTTTGTTTGGTCAATATAGACAAGACTAAGTTCGGCAAATCTCGAAACTCAGGCTGAGTAAAGGCCAACTTTAGGGACCCCCAAATTGATTTCTCAGGGCTGAGTTAGGAGAAAGCGAGCTTGAGTTTGGAGAGCTTGGAACATCTCCAAGCTCAGGCTAAGACGTGGAGAAAAGCAAGCCTAAAATTGGGGCACATTCCAAACTCATCCATATTTTTGGAAACCTGAAGGCGAACATACAAGCGAGCATTATCCTCAGAAATCTGCAACTCCCCAAGGAAAAGGGCTGCGCCATCGTGATGTAGTCACTTGCATTACCCTATTCCGGAACACTGCTCGGATCAAACGGGAGCAGCGCTTCCCGAGACAAGCTTGCTAAGGTATGTCCGCATGTTTTGACAGAGATTTGGAGTCCTTGTTTGGCGTGTGTTTTGCTGGCACAAGGCTTGATTGGCCCGGATAGCATTGAAACGGCATGCTGTGGCATGGTCCAAGCAGTCTTGGCGTGTGGGGTTACCGGTTCAAAACCTTTGTGTTGTTTGGTTGCAAAAACGTAATCTGAGCTGCTTGAGGCACTGGAAGAGTGGTGGTGTGCGCTATTTTTTCTGAAACCCTTGGAACGCTTCTGCAAACTATTCCCCGGGACCTCGCGCAAGTTAACAGCGCCCCTGACAAATGCTGGGTTTCCTTTTACTTTCCAACAAGGGTCCACCATTTTTTGCAAAAACTTCCACGTGGGTGTGTATTTCTTTGCGGGTAACCCCTTGTTCTGTGGTTTGAAAGGAAAACCAAAAGTCGACAACCACCCCCACCCCCCACCCCCCACCCCCCAAAAGTTAACAACCGCCCCACCCCAAAAGTCAACAACTTACCCCCCCCCCCCCACCCCCCTTGCTTTGTTTGGGGTGGGCCCTGAAAAAACAGCCCCAAACTGCCATGGATTCGCCAAAGGTCCCGGACCATCCCCCAAAACGAGAGAGGCGCCCGAAGAAGGCGGTGCCGGCGGAGCCCACCAGCGCCGCCATGAGGCGCCCGCCGAAGGCTGTGGGCATCGCCTGGCCGCCGGCCATCAGGACGGCGCCCCCGGTGATGGCCGCGCACATGAAACCGAAGGAGTCGTGCACCGTCCTGGAAAAACATGGGGGGGGAGGGTTGGGGGAGGGGGGGAGGCACCGTCCTGGAAAAACCTGGGGGGGGAGGGTTGGGGGAGGGGGGGAGGCACCGTCCTGGAAAAACATGGGGGGGGAGGGTTGGGGGAGGGGGGGAGGCACCGTCCTGGAAAAACATGGGGGGGAGGGTAGGGGGGGAGGGGAGGCATCGTGAAAACAAGGGGGGGGGGGAGGCACCTGAAAAAAGGGGGGATACGGGGCACCTACCAGGGTGGGAAGTCAAGGCTGGAGGGGTTAGAGTTAGGGTTATCCCTTAAGGGTTGAGGGAGGGTGTTGTCTGGAAAGTTTATATAAACTCCTTGCAGTGCTGTTCAACATGATTATGTGCAACCAAAACTTCTCAAAGATCCAATGAGGTAAGGTGACCCACAAATCGACATACTGGGGATGGACAAGCTCCTGCACAACCTTTGGATGGATGAGGCTCTGTGGATACGTGGATAAACCACCCAGCTGGTACGAAGCGGATTTTGTTCATCCACAGTACCACTCAGCACCACCTGTTTGCCCGAGAAGATCTAATTTTTCAACGCTGTCTCCAAATCCGTTACTTTCTGGCCTCGCTTAAACTTGCTGCTCAGTAGGGAATGAGGGAATGAACCCGGGCATGCCCATAAAGGAAACCATATGGGGGTGGTTTTAGGGGACATTCCATTTGCATTCTCTGCATCTCTCGCAAAAAAGACACGTCATGTGGCTGTGGGTCAAAGATCGGTACCCAACATGGAGCCTTGATAAATGGAACCATGGACTAAAACCTGACCCACATGTGTTCCGCGTGCAAAGTCCAACGAAGCAACGCGGCTTCGAAGCGTCAAAAACCGGTCCAGTTCTCTGCCCAAGCCAAAAGCAGCGCGCCAAGGAAAGAGCTCAGGAGGAAGCAAATGGGCAAGACCAGTAGGATGAGGAAGACGGCCTGCATTGACGTCGCAGACTTTCTCAGAAAAAAAATCCGTGCATTTGTTTAAAACCTAGCAACTCCTCGCCTTTAAATGGAAACCACAAGGATCACAGGCGTCCTTTTTGGGAAAATAGATGGCCCTGGTAGTTGATTGAAGCACCAGGTAAACCAGGAATCGCCCTCGATTTTGCAAACAAATCAACCAAAAAGGACACCTATGAGAAGGAGGTTGTTGAACCACATGTTTCAACAGGTTGAGAGGGGCGAACCCTATGGCCTGCCAGAGAAAGCCGCGCAAGCTTGGCGCTTCCGGTTCCTCCGCATCCTCCGGGTCCGGGTCCTCTTCGGGCGGAGCGGGCGGCTCCGCTCGCGGCTCATCTTCCATGGCAGTGCTTCACATGAGCGTCGAAGTGATCCTAGAAGGTTGGCTGGGTAGAGAAGTCAAAGTATTGCCAAGGTTTGGAGAGCAAATGTCAGAGACTAACCAAGAACGCATTCATATCACATTCGTATGAGACTCGTGTACCATTAAAAACAAGCTTGAGCCGCCAAGCAACAGGACTGCTGTTGAGAAACCACCACTGATCAAAGGCCCAATGTGGTGTATGGTAATGTACCAAGTAACGCTCCACACCACATAGCTAATGTAACGGTAAGTCAGTACATCCTCATGCAGAGAGGAGCCAACTAATGAATGGGGGGTACAACTCTCACCATGACATTGCCAACGCAAATGAAACATTGAATAAGCATGCTGTAACCCCGGGCAATTCGGGGCTCCTGCCCCGAGTTGTTTGTGGTTGACATTTAGTAAGTCCCCCCCATGTCGTTCCCAAGTTCTAGACCACTCGTTCCCATTTCGACCCAACGTTCCCAATCCATGCTCCATCTCTCGGCCCTTAAGGCTGACGGTCTAACATTTATATTTTTGCATCTCAACTATCATTCGTATGTCTATGTGTTTTGTGGGGGGTTGACAACAATGGCCGCCGACCGCCTTCAGCGGCTGCGCACAACATGACATGTGGATCCATAAACTGTGCCTATCATTTTGCGCGTCCCTTACTCCTTTTCCTTTACCTCAGTATCTTGAAAGATACTAAAGGGCTTGACCATTTTGCCAACACACCCTTAAGCAACATACTCTTGAGTAACATACTCTTAAGTAACATACCCTTAAGCAACATACCCTTAAGCAACATACCCTTAAGCAGACGGACGATACCAAGTTCTCCGTCTCAAAGATCTGCACATTTTGCGCTTTCATTTCGACATGGCAGCTCCGGGTCAGCTCCCGGCTCCGGCTTGCCTCGTCCACACCTCGCAGCGGCCCCGGGAGTATTCCACCCCCTGGCAGCCCACAGTGACGGCGCACAAGGCCTTGCAGTCCTGGACACCCGATAGAAGAAAACCAAACTGGATGTGTCTCATATTGCCTAAAAAGTTCCAACTCGGAGTCCCTCTAACACCAAAAGGGGCTCCACCATGAATGAAACTCCTATATACCTTTTCGGTGGACAACTTATTTTGTTGGGAATCCTCTAGTTTTGAGTTGGCGAGTTGTAGTGTATGCAAGGTCCTCAGATTGAAATGGAGAGGGGAAACCTGGAAGGATATGGAAGGATATGGAAGGTGTTCAGGGTTTCTCCAGGCTGAAAAGTCTGAAGCGAGAGATCGGTTTCCTTTGTTTCAGCTCATTTACGCCAACCTTTTGGGCTGCTCACTTGCGCCCTTGCTCACTTGTGCCCAAAGCGAATCCACCTGGTTTTTTGGGGAACCAAACCAGGCTCAGCATGGAGGGTCTTTGCTCGTGGAATCTTTGTTGCCAACATCTAAAATTTCTGGGTCCAGTTTTGGCAGCGGGGAAGACCTGCACATGATTGCTGATCGCTCCCCGCTCGGCTCATACTCCACGCTTCTTTGTTTACTGAGACTTCAAGTGAGCACGCCAACATGTTACACTCCGGCAGATTCACATGGAACCCAAACTGCCTTTGTTTGGAATTCGTCTTCTTTTGGGAGACCCCTTATGTTGGATCCTATGTTGACTTGTAGTGGGGTGACATTGAGTTGTCCCACGCAAATGTGTCAGCGTCTGCGTTACCTTAACTCCTCGCACAACCACACATGCATGGTCGATCCTTGCACTGAGTACCAAGCCGGACAAGTTAGGCTAAATTTGCGTACAAGATACCAGCATCCCCAAAAAACAATCTGTTCGTGGCTTTTGCCAGAGCCGAATCAGCCGTTCGCTGGGTCCTAAATCCTCCAGTAGAGAGGTTACACAAAGGGTGCCCTTTTCTCTGTAGTCTATTTTAGTAGGGGAACCTTCCCCAAAAAAAGGTGAAAGGGCACCTAGCTGGGGGACCTAGACACGGAATCCCTGGGCGAGTCAACTCCTCCAAGCTATCGAGATTGGTCACCAGGTACTTGGTCGGCGAAGCATCCTGACCCGCGCAAAAGACAATGGCCCGGACTCTGGCGAGTGTGTCCGTTGTTGAGCGCAGCTTCTTGGGCTTGTCATGACTTGTTTCAAGTGAAAACCAAACAGAACAAAAACACGTCTTGCTCACGCGGAGTACAAACCAAAATCGCAATGTTAGGGGTAGGAAGTAGGAAGACCCTGTGTGGCCCTGGCTCGCTCAATTTACTTGCTTTACTTGGGGGACAATTAAACAACAAAACAACCATCAACACGCAAAGAGCCGCGTGCGGCCTCACACCCTGAATGGGCATGATACATTCTGCAGAACTGCCGGGGTTACCTGGGTTTCCCTGAGTGCAACTCCAACTTGTAAGACCACCATCCAAAAAAGACAGCACCAATATCTTTGAACCACTGTATACCGGCATTAACTAAGCGCTATCTCTTCCCATGCTCCTGCAAAAAGAAACCCCTTGGGCCAAGTTGTTGTCCTTCTTTTGTCCTTTCAATATTAGTGAACGCCATTACAAGTAAATAGGGGGTTCTTCTACTTGGGGATGATTTCCTGTTGGATCATGTTTGTAAAGCCATGCAAAAGTGTGAGATTTCCCTTGCAGGAAGCACCCGTCTAAGCCATTGGCGTAGCTGGCGCAAAGCGAACAAAAGACACGCTAACATGTCCTCTCTCCCGGCGCGGCAGGCTTGGCCATCTTCTCCTACCTGCTCCCAACCTCAGATGGACATGTCTCAAATATCTTAGCCCTTTATACTCAGATCCTGAGTAGACGGCCCAACAAAAAGGTCTAAACTTGTTGTTTACCACTAAAGTGGTCTTTCCGAACAAAGCTTAAAGTCTAAGAACACGGGAAGTGATTACAATACTTGGTGGTGCAAGGGACACTGAGACTCTAGGCTGGGCTGGTGAAAGTCCGCACAGGACAAGGAGCTTGATTCTCTGGCAGTACGAGTGGTCGTGGTGGTGGTGGTGGTGACAATAATGGTAATGATGGTGGTGGTGGTGGTGGTCGTGGTTGTCGTGGTCGTAGTGGTTGTAGTGGTTGTCGTGGTTGTCGTGGTTGTAGTGGTTGTGGTGGTTGTAGTGGTTGTAGTCGGCGGAGGTGTCGTTCCTTCCAGGCACCAAAAACACGAGCATCACAAGTTGGCTGCCACGCTCCCGACGCTCCCGTCACGTCCCGAGTCGCGAGCCTCGCTGAACGAGAATGACATCCCCGGAAACCGCGCAATGGTCGCTGCCAGCTTTGTCGCAGCCTCGGGTCAGAGATCTCCAGTCACACAGGCATCCTTACATTATACACCTGAGCATTGCCTTGTCAATAGTGGTTTCCCTTTGTTTTGATGGAAAAAGCCATGTTTCAACTGGGCAAAATGTATCTTTTAAGGAGCCCTGTCACACGTGGCGCGTTTTCCGCCGAGTCATCCGAGATCCCAGCTTGCTCCGGAGTCTCATACAACATGCCACACATAACCACTCCGCACCGAACCCTGTGGGGTTCTGTGTTGGTTGAGCATGGCTAACAATTTAAAGGCAAGCCATTCATTTTGGGTTCCTCAATTTGACATATGTATATATATATATATGTATATATGTATATCAATCCTCAAGAAGAAGACCCTTGGCCTTACAGATTGCTTCCCGAGAGCCCGTGCGACAAAGTATTAAAGGGGTGTCTCGGAATCGTTCGGGCCCTTTAATGATTGGTGTCAAGAGGCAAACGGGTGTGTCTTCTTTTGAGGGATCCCCCCTTGTTTCGTAGTTTTAAAAGGATCCCAAGGAAAACCCTCATTTTGGGTGGGGTACCAAAGACACACCAACACCAAAGGGAAATCAAAGGGACTTTTAGCCGACCATTGCCTGGGGTCCACATCCTATCCCAAGTCGTCACATGTTCGAAGAGAAAGGGCCCCGATTTGTGACTTGGTGGACATCATTTAGGTGGGGATTTACGTCCACCAATCACTTTTCAGGCGGTTCCCAATTAAATTCATGGCCACTTGGCCCACTCGACTCAGTTTGGCCAAAGTGGGGAAAATCGGGTCGCACCAGGCCTTTACAAAAAATCAACCCCCACCTGAGACTGGCAAGGCACTCTCTCTCTCTCTCCCGGCCTTGCCAGATCTTCGACTGGGTCACACGGCCCATGTAAAGAGGCGTGTACTCAAAGTAGACCTGCAGAAGAACGCCAAAGAGCCACCATCAAATTGCTCTTGCAACGGACAAGGAAGCAAACAAAATCATGCTTGTGGAGCATAGCCCCTTTCCGCAAGAAACCAAAGTACGGTTCCTGTCCCAACACTTCTGGCGCTTCAACGTGTCTTGGCTTCGTTGGTGTCCCAACGGCCTCAAGAATAGCCACAACACACTCCAAGTTGCTCATTTGGCTGCTCCAGTATGAGGGGGGAGTATCATTTCTTGGGGGGACCCGCAAAACTTGGGTGGTGTCCCTTTGCTTGTTTTCCCGTTAAAGCAACCCAAATAAGGCCTTCAACAAACACACACCCGCATAAGCAAGGACGAAGCAGGCGCTTCTTTGGAAGATAAGCCGAGTTCGGCGTGAACAACAACTCAAGGGCTTCAAACTTCCCGTAAGATTGACTGGCCTCGAACAGGTGGTGACAATGACAGTGATACTGCGGGTATCAGATTCATCAAAGGGCACCGAATACAATGATGGCTTCCCAATATCATTCACTCTACCCAAAAGGGGCACGAGACAGTTTTTGTTCACACGGACACATGGCCATGGGTCAAAAGCCAAATCGTACCCCCAGTGAACATCCCAATCCCCACTAAGATAGACTAAAATGGGTGGTGCACCTACGCCAAAATGGGATCCCATTGGTTTTGACCCACAGCCACATAAAAAGGGATCTCCCCACAAATCTTGAACGACCCTGCCGCTTCGCAAAGTCCTCTAAGCGAAGAGGGCGACCAACCATATTCCAAGGGAGAGTACAGCCGAGGCCCAGATACGCAGCAATCATTGAATAACTAGGTCCTCCAGTAGGGTACCCTTATTGCTGTTGTCTATTTCAGTAGGGGAACTCTCCCCCAAACAAGGGTAAAAGGGCACTACTGGGGGACCTAGATAAGGGTACTCGATATATTAGAGCAAGGAAAGGACAAAGTGAGGGGAACCAATAAAGGAAACCGCCTTTCGCGATTTAGGGCTCAGATATCCCCCCCTAAGTAGTTGGACCACCGCCCACAGCCGCCCGTGGGACGAACTCCATGTTTTGTTGTTTTTTGTGTTTGAACTCCATATTTTCAGTGTTTTTTGTGCTTGCTTGCTTTTTTGGTGTGGTGGTTTACGTCACTTCTTCGAGTTTGCTTGACAAGAACTTCTTTATTTCCTGTTTCTGTGGGGTGTGTGATGTTCTCCGTGTGCTGAGCTGTCTTGTTTTGCTGTAGCTTGGTGTCAGAAGACGTTCGTCTAGCGTTTGCCTTCATCGTCTTGCTGCGTTTGGCTGGCGTCTCGTGGGTGAAGAACAGACTAAGGACCCCCCCCCGTCGGCTATTGAAAAGAGAGTTCATAATGCGGTTCCCAGGCAACATGCAGTCTTGAACATGGCAAAATCGTTGACACACGATAGTTGGGGGCTGGAAAAATGAGCTTCTGAAAGCAGCGTGCCAGTGCAATTCGGGAATGCAAGAAATTCCCCACTGTCTCGGCCATTTTACATGAGGGACAAAATCCTTGACACACGATAGTTGGGGGCTGTAAAAATGAGCTTCTGAAAGCAGCGTGCCAGTGAGATTCGGGAACGCAAGAAATTCTCCACTGTCTCGGCGCATTTTACATGAGGGACAGACGGGGCTCTCCTTTCCCCCCTGTAATCGCAGCTTCGACAGGTTGCTCCGAAGCCAAAAAACGCACGATATTACACGGGCTACTATGGGCGGTGTAGCTAAGTAGTTTGTGACTGAGCACTGTTTAGTCTTGGCTTGCTTTTGATTTAGTATTGCTTGGTGCTGCCTTAGTTCTGGTTTAGCATCGGATTGGAATTTGTTTAGAACTGGCTTAGCATTGGTTTAGTATTGCTTTGTGCTGCCTTAGTACTGATCGGTATTGGCTTAGTTTTGGCGTCCTGTTAGAGTGTCATGCCGGGACATGTCATCGGTCACCCATTTGACCAGCGCCCAAAGACCGTTCACCTTTGGTACCAGCATACCTTCTAGTTGCTTCTGTAGGCTCGACAGAAGAAACCCCTAGGAGGCCGTTGACTGTTGGCACCAAAATACTTGCAAGGCTTATGTAGGCCCTGCTAGAATTCCTTCAGGGAGTGGAACCCCTCAACAACCGGTGTGGATGTAGACTGACTGGATCAAAGAAATGGCTGTGGGTCAAAACCAATGGTACCATTTTGGGATAGGTGACTCCACCACACATTTAAGAACCTATTTTAGTGGTTGGATTGGGATGTTCACTGGGGGTACGATTTGGATTTTGACCCATGGCCAAATGTTTGACAGGCTCCGGGGATATCACTCAGTGACCCGTCCAGCAATTGACCGTCGAGACGCAAAGTCGATCTTGACGCCAAAGCCCGTGGACTCGTCGGGGCTGTTGCCCGTGACGTAGTGGGCGTCTTGAAAGGTATACCTCTGACGAGAGAAAACTCAAGGCACGCCCCAGCCCTTGCATATTTGTTGGAATGGTCAAAAAAGAAGCTCTGAGAATGATTCGTCAGAACAGAAGTGGCTCTTAGACTGGTTCTGTGAACCTTGCCGGTGGGTAGGGGGTAGGGGGCATGACATGTTAAAACAGCAGAAGATATGAACAGATTAGCTGGAATTGTAAGACTCGGTGCAATGCAGCACTTACTTGCCCCGCAACCGTGAATAAAATTGCTGTTTGTTAGCCGTTTCGAAAAATAACTTATGGGGAGACTCCATACTTGATTCTGTTCATATGAATTGTCAACTTGTAAACATCTTGTAAACATATTTTTCTTTAGAATCGTCCCACCAGTTCTCAGGCCCTGGGATCTTGGTTTCATGGCCTCCGGGCGGCTTGGCCCCATGGGCCGTCGCAAACTTTTCAAAAGCCGCCAACATGGGATTCACACCGTTAAAACATTGGCTAGGCGAGTATTCCGCCGGGGTTTAGCTGAGGATTGTCATATACATCAAGTCAACCACTCTTCTATTGGGGGACATTGGGGGTTGTCATCATATCAAGTCAACCACTCTTCTATTGGGGGAGTTATTTTGAGGTTGAACCCTAGGGTCATGTTCTTTTGCATCAGGGCAACCATCGGGTAGCGATTTGTAAATGGGAACGCAAATCAGACAAGTTTGCCCAAACTTATTCACCACCCAGACAAGACAAAGGGACGGGAAATACAGAACATGTTTTCTTCAGTGGGAACAATATAGCTGCCCATCCGGAGGTGAGAAAAAGAAAATACGATCCCGAGCTCTCCCAATACTGCAAGCAGGGCGCGGATTGATGTCCCAGTATTGATTGTGCGCCGTGCGCGTGCCGTCGCGCATCAGAAACTGGGACCCAGCATAAAAGTTTGCATTCCTCAGTTCGCACTTGTGACAGCCAGCCGCGGCCGCTTCCTGGCGGACTTGCGAAGGTCCGTTTACTTCAGAAGCCAATGGCTCAACCGCAAAAAAGAGAAAACGGGTGAGAACGAAGACAAAGAGAGAGAGAGAAAGAGAGAGAGAGAAAGAGAGATAGCTTGTCTCTACGGCACAACCCAATTGGCATGCTCAACTCGGCTTTGCGCATAGGACCAGTGCCTGTCCAAAAGCGACGCCCGCCAACCCGCAAAACGGACAGAGTGCGAAAGTGCTGAATCAACCGACTGCCTTCCAACTCTACAGCCGTCTCGGCCTTCACCCTGTCTTTCTGCAAGGCACATGTCACCCAGCGCAGCGATGGGAAAATCGGGGTACTTTGCCCTTTGCTCCTTCATCACCTCAGCCAAAAAAGCTTCAGCCGTGTGGCAGGCCAATGAAAACAAACCATGGGCATCATATATTTTAAACCGCCCTCAAATTGCTGACCTCACACACCTTAATGCGCAAACTCCGCCCTGGTTGAAGCTACTGAAATCTCACGCGAGTGGATTTGCCTGAAAAAGTTCATCAATCGCAAGCAAGCAAGCAAACGAATAAACACAAACAAACAAGCAAGACAACTGCTCACAAACAACTGCTTAACTGAGTTAAACTGGTGTGGCCAATGGCAGTATGGGCACAAATTGAAGGCCTACAAAGCAACTTCAATCCATCGATGCACTTACAAAGGACAAGAGTATTCGAAGCGCTGCCAGAGCAAAAGCAAGAAACTTGGTTGCTATTGACCCCTCTGCAAAAAAAAACCTTGTTGTGCGTTTACGTAGTGGAAAAGCCCTTGATTTCCCAAAAAGTTAAAGTCTAAAGATCCGACCCAATAGCAGTCAAGGAAATGAGAGCAAGGATAGCACTTGCTCAGTCTAACGGGCAAAGACTGTCACTGAACAGCCACTGGGGATTCTCATTTTGTCCGAGGTACGCGTGAGTGAGCAATTTCTCAACATATCACACGCATGTCATTACCGGGGATGTGTAATTTAAATTCTTTCAAACCTCCTATGTCGTAGCACCAATGAAACCTGAAAGAGGCTCTTTGTTACCTTTCAGGTTCCATGTTCGTTTTTGGGAGGGTAATTTAAGAGGGGACCTTAGCTTTGGAACATGAATTTCCCCCCCCCCCGGGAACAAGGGGTGAACAGAATGGCTGATCAATCCTTGGCTCGAGACAATCCTTTCGGCCGCCTCCCAATGGTCGAAATCTGAAGATCGAGGAGCTTCATCCAAGCTATTGCCTGCTCCATCTGGAAATTTGAGTAGTGCCCAACCCCCCCCACAATTCTCACTTCCTGAGTTGATGGGCCAAAAAAAGTTCAAACTTTCTGTTTACCACTAAAATGGTCTTCCCAAAAAGTTTAAAGTCCAGGAACTCAGGGAGTGAGAATTTAGCAATGAAGGCTACTTTGCGACTAACAAAAGTTGCAATGAGGGAATACAAGAAAACGATTCCGCCATTGGTGGGAGCCGAATGTGGATGGCATCAACTCAAACCTAAACCAGTCATTGGGGAACCATACGCTCCACACGGTCCCTAGAGCTTCAACGATGTCGACCATCGGCCAAAAACAAAAAGGCCCCCCTGGTGACTTGCACCCGCCATGTTTTGGGATGCCTTGACTTAGCCAAGAAGAATTGGAAAACCTGAACTTGTTGAGATGCATTGTATCGTTTTCGTTCTGCTTTCGTTGGCTCCAAGTCGTAGATATGCGTGAGATGTGCCTGGTTTGGGTGGTTTGGCGATTGTCCTTTGTCGTGTCCGTGAAGTTAGTAGTATACCAGCAATGCCAACAATATGTATTTGTTTACGTCATTTGGCACTCCGCGTCTGCTCGGTAGGGAAGTACACAGCAGGTCTCGGAGACGCCAATGACGCGTCGACCAAGGTGCCGTGAGGATTTCGTTCTGCACAAATTTCAGGATGGGCTCATCGTTGGTGCAGCACCAGGGGTGCGTTCCAAGAACCACCACCTGAGTTAACAACATGTTCCAGCTGTGGATGCTCAAGGTATGTAGAAAACATACCTTAACACCATCAAAATAGGTTGTGAGTTTTTTGTTTTTAAGAAATAAGTTCCATACCGCCCAAGTTTATACCTAAAAGTTGCCTGGAACCTGAGTCCATCGAAACAAATCTTTGAGCCGCATTTGTACCCGAGACACGGTTGACTGCCAACACGTAGCAGCAGCAATTTGGTCTCTCGTCGTGCCTGGCAGTGTTGGCTGTTTACCACAGCTTTCAACTTGGCTAGCTGCAACTCCAGCTTTCTGTGTTGCGTGACTCTTCTCGTGTCTATCCATGTCTGGATAACGACCCATCCCCACTACCAGAATGGAATGCAAGCAGGGGAGAATGTCATTTGCTGGAATTCGCATCAAGCGTGGACCTGCCAACATGAGGGGCTACATAAGGTAAAAAACATGCGTGCTTTTTTTCTTGTTCGCCCCTGGTCAGCAAATCAACTTTGGGACCTCCAAAAAGGGTGGTTTGCCAATCGCGTAAAACATCGAATGGCCGGGGTCCATCCCCTCGGTCCGTGCACCAAAAGTTTGATTTCGCATTCTGCTTCATATTTGAGTGTTTTTGTGACCCTCAGAATGGTTTCCCTTCTGGTTTCCCATTGAAACCAACAAAAAGGCTCCCAAAAAAGACAAACCCATTTAGTCTACCCAGCATAACAAAGCCAACAAGGTTCTCCAGTAGAGAGCTTCGAATACGGGTACCAACTTCTTTCTGTAGCCTATTTTAGGGTTCGGAACCGAATCTCCCAACCAAACAAGAAATGGTAAAGGCGCCCCCAACTTCCAAGCCCCAACATGAGCTCAGCTGCGCCAGTGTAGTCCGCGCGTCTCTGTAGCACCGCCCAGGTGATGCCACGCTCCTTTCGGGAAAAAAACAACATATTGGACCCCACTACCGTGAATGGTTGCGAAATCCATTTCGCACAACCCAAGAAACCCTGGAAGGATGATTCCCCTGTAAATACCAAGAAACAATGGACCCCACTCCAACTTTATATTCCCTTTCTCCTTTTCTTGATGATGTTACTGGTGATGTATGATATTGTTTCATACATATTTAATTATTTGTTTTTTTTTGCTGCTGTTGCAAGGTATTATTTTGAAAAACATGATTGGCATGTCAATGGAAGATAAAGGAAAACCAACCATTTTAGGGACACGTTTGAGAACCCCCCCCCCATATAGGTCTAGTCTAATCATTAGGGCCCCCGACCAGAACAGTTCTGAAAACCCTTGATGGAGTGCTGGGGGGAGGGGGGGGGCCGCGGGGGCGGGAGGTTGTTCCCTCCGTACTCATTCTTCGAGGCGTTACAGGGCCACCTGCAGTGTCCGGAACAGATGCTCAGTCCCGCCATGGGCTGCTTGGTGCTACCTGCACGCCTAAAAATGCGGATTGCTTTCTCGTGCAAGGGACGCCGGCAGGGAAGACAGTGGGACCATCTGCTCTGAACAAAACTCAATTTCATGTCTACTGGTTCATATTTTAGTCTAAGGGGCCAAATTGTCACACTTGTCTTATTTCTGCTGGTCAATATTTACTTTGGTTTGAAAAGTCTCCCCTCAATAATCTTATCTAGGTCCTCCAGTGGAGAGGTTAGAATAAGGGTACCCTTTCTTCTTCTGTAGTCTATTTTAGTAGGGGAACCCTCCCCAAAAAAGGCAAAAGGGCAAAAGGGCAGTACTGGGGGACCTAGTTATATGTAAGCTCCCTTCCGCCGCGCGTACAAACCTCCCGGCCGCTCACCCCACAAAAACCGCTCGCCTCAAAGGTCCGCACGCCGCTGTCCAGCAATGTCCACAGGTCGCGCCTGAGAGCGACGTGAAAACCAGAAGATCCAATTTCCGGTTTTCGTGTTGACAGTCCATGCGAAAAGACCTTGGCAACCCCTAGGTGGACAGCACTAGTGGCAGGGTACCCGGAAGATCAATTTCCTCTTGAAGGGAACCCCCTGTCAGGTGCTATGGCAACCTGGGAGAGAGTAGATGTCGTCTTGGGATCCCCAAGTCCATCGCGAGAGGCCAATGTCCACATGCGAACACATCGCTAGCCATGAGCAAAAACTTCCTTGTTCGCACTGCGAAGATATGAACAAGCACTGAAGCAGACATACTCTCAGGCGTGTCCCATGCAATGCGAGTTCAGGGTGCTATTGGTGCACGGAGTTCTGCAATTCACAACGACTATCGCGTTTCGCTGCGGACATTTAGCACGAAGTCTCTGGGTGTGTTTTTGTTGGGGGGAACGCCCTTTTGATCGGTTTTAAACGGGAAACCGGCAGGAAACGAACCAACTTGGGGCCTCCGAATGTTGACACAAACCTAATATGGCCTTGGGTCAAAAATAGGGTAACCCCAAAATGAAACCCGGTAAATGGAAACATTAACTAAAGCCTGCGGTCCACAGCCTGGTGGCTGAATTTTGACATTCTGACCCCCAAAAAGGGGTTGATCGATGTCACAGTTGTTGTGGTTTTCCAACCAATGGTCATCCCAGGTAAAGGACCTGTTGATACCCACATACACCAACATTTGACCCATGGTTGGTTTTTCACCTCATGCGGCCATTGCCTTCGAGCCACCGGAAGACGATGTCCCCGTCCCAAACTTGCTCCTCGGTCCGCGAGTTCTTTTGGTTTTAGCACACGAGCCGCGCCTGGCTCCGTTCTCTTCGACCGTTCTGAAAAAACACGCGTCCAATCCCAAAGAATGAGTGAAGAGAATGTGCCTCCATTCTCTTCAGGGACCCTTCTCAAAACAAAAGTGTCCAATTGCAATGGGCGGTCTCTGAGAAGGATGGGTGAAGAGAATGGGATTAATCCCAACGGGTGGGTGAAGAGAATGGAATCACCCCCTCCCGGAACTAATTGCATGCCGAGCATCGGTTGGGCCTCAGAACAGATGTGAGAAGGGGGCTTCCGCAAAGAAGTGATACAATACCAGGCCTTCTGGTAGGGTCGGGTTGTCCACAAGTCCCATTTTTGAGCCCTCCATTTGTCCATGGAAAGCGAGAAAACTGCCTGGCATCTGAGTCGAATGGAATGGCTCGTTCTGTTGTTCGATGCGAATTTACTGCTGGGGTATTTCAAAATCAGAAGTCATGAGAGAATGGCCAGCAACAAAGCATGTTGCTTATCTGTCCCAGCTTGTCGGGTCGCGAGGGTTGACGCACCTGACAAAAGTGTCAGACTGAACAAGTCAACGTGGCTTAGGACATTCGTGTGGCAAATGCAAATACACAAAGTCGAGGGGCGAACTGAGGGTGGCCACCTATCAAGCCCTTGGGACGGCCATCTTCTTGTTGGCTTGGCACATGTGGCTTTGTCTTAAAATAGGGGACCCCCCAAGAAACAAAATGGGCGGCTTCCTTTTGTTTTTCCTTTAATAACCCGAAGAAGGGGTGACATGGGTATTCGCCTCAAAAAAGACGAACCCCCGTGTGGTATTTGGCGTGCGCAAAGATGGGCGGTGGTGTTTCAGCCTCCCGCCTCCGCGGGCAAACTCCCAGATGGCTCCGGACCGCTGATTCAGCGCCCCCAGGATCTCGTCCCACTCTTGCCACACCTCCTGCCGAGCACTCCATAGGCTGACTCCAACCATTCTTTTCAACAATTGTTCTTTCCAATAGTCGTTTTCCCTGGGTTTCCGGAGGTTTTCCGGAAAGAAGGATCCCTGGAAAGAATGGGGAAGGTATCCTTAGAAGCACTGGTTTCACTCACTTATCCAGTGGATTTGGCGCGAAAAAAACTGAAACTTAGTTGGAACGTATTCTGCAACTGGGTTTCCCGGCGAAAGTCCTTCAGGACACAAGAAGTAGTGAGTTCCCATTTTTGACATAACACATCTCACGAGAATCTCACCCAAAATTGGGCAACCGAAAGGTGATGCGAACCACGGAAAGTGCCTAGGTTTTCGGTTAGAATAAGGGTACCAACTTTTTTCTGTAGTCTTTTCTAGTAGGGGAACCCTCCCCCAAACAATGATAAAAGGGCACTGGGACCTAGGTGGACATATCGGGAACTCTGCGCTTCTCAGGGAGCATTTTCATTGATTCACCGGGACGCGTCTGAGGTGACCACGGAACGGCCCAACATGGCCCGGCTAGGTCTTGAACTCTTGCACTGTCTGAGCAACGTTCCGTTACTCCGTACCATTGCCCATTTCATTAATTCAAAATTGTTCAAAGCAATTAAGGCAATGATTCAGCGCTTCTGAAAGTGTTTGGTTTGATTTTGGTTTCCCTTTTAATCAGCCTGAAAAGGTACCCTCAAAAGAACATAGAGCCCTATTCTGTCAACATAGCCTGACTTGTGAAAAGAATCTGAATGGATTTTTTGTGCGGTGCACACTTCAACAGGCTTCCGAACCTTCTCTGATCATCCTTCCCGATTGACAGTGGGGTGTCGTGGGCTCAGAAGGGACCCCGAAGGTCCTGCAGGGACACGATCTCAGGATCCACCTCGAGGATGGCATCCGCGATCTGGCCCGCCCGCCCTATCAGGTCGTTCGCCTCAGCGAGGGGAATTCGCCTCATCTCACAATTGAATTCGGGCCTGTCCCCATATTTCAGCTAAACTTCCGGTCTTCGACGGGAATGTTTCCAGGACTCCACCTGAAACCAAGGCGTTGATGAAGCAAACCGAGGTGGCGCTCTGCGGTGCGGGCAGGGCGCGTAGTAGACGTTCCATGTAAGGAACCTCGTCGCCTGCGGATGCGGAATGATGAACCCTCCAGCGGATCTAGAGGATCCCCTCAAGCAGCCGGTGTTGTATATATATATATATATGTATGTATGTATGTATATATGTATATCCGCCGACCCTTTCTCTAAAAAGGGGAGGCGCACGGGAAGGGTAGTTGGCGCATAAGTATATCCAAAGTTTCATCCTCATCAGCATCAGCAGCTGCAGCTACGATAAATGTTATCGTCACGGTCATCGTGATCATCATCATCCTTATCATCATGTCTTTCTTATTCTCTTATCCTTATCATCATTATCATCATGGTTGTCGTCATCTCTTATCAGGCAGCATTTGGGTTGCAGAGGATGCTGCGAGGATCGTTATCAGCACAGCCGTTAGTGATGCTAAGGATGCTACGATGATAGTTATCACCCTTGTCATCATCTTTATCATCATCTGACCATCACCTAGCATCATCTCATATCTTACTATATATAGAAACCAAAAGGGACGTTAGACATCCTTGGCAACGCAAAGGATGCGATGATGATAGTTATCAAGGAGCAAGTACTGATGCAGAGGATGTTGTGATGATAGTTGTCATGACGCGGATGATAACGATCCTCACGCCCCCATTCTCATCATGGTCGTCGTCATCTCTCATTAGGCAGCATTGGTGATGCAAAGGATGCTGCGATGATCGTTATCATCACAGCCGTTAGTGATGCTAAGGATGCTACGATGATAGTTATCATCCTTGTCATGATATAAGATGATGCTAGGTGATGATCAGATGATGAGAAAGATGATGACAAGGATGATAACTATCATCGTAGCATCCTTAGCATCACTAACGGCTGTGGTGATAACGATCATCGCAGCATCCTCTGCATCACCAATGCTGCCTGATAAGAGATGACGACGACCATGATCATCACGGTGCTTATCATCATCATCTTCTTCGTCATCGTCCTTATCTTTTTTATATACGTTTCAAGTGTCCCGTTAGACCCGATTTGAGATGCAGAAGATGCGCGGACATGATTATCATGATGACTGCTGGTGATGCTGAGGATGCGTCATGATGATTATCATGTCAGTTCATCATCATCATCATCATCATCACGGTGCTCATCATCATCATCTTCTTCGTCATCGTCCTTATCTTTTTTTATATACGTTTCAAGTGTCCCGTTAGACCCGATTTGAGATGCAGAAGATGCGCGGACATGATTATCATGATGACTGCTGGTGATGCTGAGGATGCCATGTCAGTCGGCGCTCATCATCATCATCTTCTTCGTCATCGTCCTTATCTTTTGTTATAACCGTGTCAACTGTCCCGTTAGACCCGAATTGAAATGCAGAAGATGCGTGGACATGATTATCATGACGACTGATGGTGATGCTGCGGATGCGTCATGATGATTGTCATGTCAGTTCATCATCATCATCACGGTGCTCATCATCATCATCTTCTTCGTCATCGTCCTTATCTTTTTTTATATATACGTTTCAAGTGTCCCGTTAGACCCGATTTGAGATGCAGAAGATGCGCGGGCATGATTATCATGATGACTGCTGGTGATGCTGAGGATGCGTCATGATGATTATCATGTCAGTTGGTGTCATCATCATCATCTTCTTCGTCATCGTCCTTATCTTTTTTTTTACGTTTCAAGTGTCCCGTTAGACCCGATTTGAGATGCAGAAGATGCGTGGACATGATTATCATGATGACTGCTGGTGATGCTGAGGATGCGTCATGATGATTATCATGTCAGTTCATCATCATCATCATCATCAGCGTCATGATGATTATCATGTCAGTTGGTGTTCATCATCATCTTCTTCGTCATCGTCCTTATCTTTTTTCCCGGAAGCATTGCGAAGGGTTCTTCTTCTAAAAGCGGCTGCCAACTTCACCTGCCAACTTCTCATGCCAACTTGTCGAGAGTTACTTCACCTGCCTACTTCTCATGTCAACTTTTTGAGAGTTACTTCACCTGCCAACTTCTCATGTCAACTTTTCGGCTGTTATCTCATTCTACTAAAAGCACAAGCTAATTTGTCGGGTGTTACTTCACTATCCTAAAAACAAAAGCTAACTCTTCTGTTCTACCTTCACATCTCGACTCTTAATTCTTCTTCTTTTTATGGCGGGGGTAGGCCCGACGGGAGCTTACGAAACGCACCCCTCTGCGGAGATCGTGCGTGTCGAAGCGCTCTCGCTGTGGCGCCGTGCGAATTTGTCTTGAGCCCGATGAACCCTCTGCGGGGATCGTGCGTGTCGAAGCGCTCTCGCTGTGGCGCCGTGCGAATTTGTCTTGAGCCCTATGAACCCTCTGCGGGGATCGTGCGTGTCGAAGCGCTCTCGCTGTGGCGCCGTGCGAATTTGTCTTGAGCGCGGCGAACCCTCTGCGGAGATCGTGCGTGTCGAAGCGCTCTCGATGTGGCGCCGTGCGAATTTGTCTTGAGCCCGATGAACCCTCTGCGGGGATCGTGCGTGTCGGATCGCTCTCGCTGTGGCGCCGTGCGAATTTGTCTTGAGCGCGGCGAACTCTCTGCGGAGATCGTGCGTGTCGAAGCGCTCTCGCTGTGGCGCCGTGCGAATTTGTCTTGACCTTGGCGAACCCTCTGCGGAGATCCTGCGTGTCGAAGCGCTCTCGCTGTGGCGCCGTGCGAATTTGTCTTGAGCCCGATGAACCCTCTGCGGGGTTCGTGCGTGTCGGATCGCTCTCGCTGTGGCGCCGTGCGCATCTGTCTTGAGCCCGATGAACCCTCTGCGGAGATCGTGCGTGTCGAAGCGCTCTCGCTGTGGCGCCGTGCGATTTTCTTGCTCGCGAAACGGCTTTTGGAAGTTGTCTCGTGGTGTGCGCGCCTGCTTTCGCAATCCCGCGGTCCCGGGTTCGTTTCCCCCCTGGTCCGCGGCAGCTCCGGCTTGAAAATCGCAGCTTTTAAGTACAAACGTAGTACGCGGAGCGTGCTCCTGCAGCTCCGGCTGGAATATCGCAACTTTTAAGTACAGACGTAGTACGCGGAGGCTGCTGCAGCTCCGGCTGGAAAATCGCACTTTTTAAGTACAGACGTAGTACGCGGAGCGTGCTCCCGCAGCTCCGGCTGGAAAATCGCAACTTTTAGATACAAATGGCTGGAAAATCGCAACTGTAAATTGCAAATGTAGCACGCGGAGCGCCTCCGCCGATCCAGCTTTTTGAGGGTTAATTACTTCACCTGCCAGTTTCTCATGCCGAAACTTCGAGAATTACTTCACCTGCCAGCTTCTCATGCCACCTTTTCGAGAGTTACTACACCTGCCAACTTCTCGTGCCAACTTTTCGAGGAGTTACTTCACCTGCGAGCTTATCATGCCAACTTTTCGAGAGTTACTACACCTGCGAGCTTCTCATGCCAACTTTTCGAGAATTACTTTACCTGCCAACTTTTCGAGAAATACTTTACCTGCCAACCTCTCGTGGCAACTTCACCTGCCAACTTTTCGAGAATTACTTCACCTGCCAACTTCTCATGCCAACTTTTCGAGAAATACTTTATCTGCCAACCTCTCGTGGCAACTTTTCGAAAAATTACTTCACCTGCCAGCTTCTCATGCCAACTTTTCGAGAGGTAATTCACCTGCCAACATCGCCTGCCAACTTTTCGAGAGTTACTTCGCCTGCCAACTTCTCGCGCCAACTTTTCGAGAATTACTTCGCCTGCCAACTTCTCATGCTAACTTTTCGAAAGTTACTTCACCTGCCGGCTTCTCACGCCAACTTTTCGAGAGTTACTTCACTCGCCATCTTCTCGTGCCAACTTTTCGAGAATTACTTCACCTGCCAGCTTCTCACGCCAACTTTTCGAGAGTTACTTCACCTGCCAACTTCTCACGCCAACTCTTTGAGAGTTATTTCACCTGCCAACTTCTCATGCCAACTTTTCTCTTGAGTTACTTCGCCTGCCAACTTCGCATGTCAACTTTGCGAGAATTACTTCACCCGCCAACTTTGCCAGCCAACTATTCGAGAGTTACTTAACCTGCCAGCTTCTCATGCCAACTTTTTGAGAATTGCTTCGCCTGCCAACTCCTCATGCTAACTTGGCGAGAGTTACCTCACCTGCATCAACTTGCCTCTATGCTTCCGGGCCACTCGTCGTCTAGTTTATATACGTTTCAAGTGTCCCGTTAGACCCGATTTGAGATGCAGAAGATGCGTGGACATGATGATCATGATGACTGCTGGTGATGCTGAGGATGCGTCATGATGATTATCATGTCAGTTCATCATCATCATCATCAGCATCATCACGGTGCTTATCATCATCATCTTCTTCGTCATCGTCCTTATCTTTTTTAATATACGTTTCAAGTGTCCCGTTAGACCCGATTTGAGACGCAGAAGATGCGCGGACATGATTATCATGATGACTGCTGGTGATGCTGAGGATGCGTCATGATGATTATCATGTCAGTTCATCATCATCATAATCAGCATCATCATCACGGTGCTCATCATCATCATCTTCTTCGTCATCGCCCTTATCTTTTTTTTATACGTTTCAATTGTCCCGTTAGACCCGATTTGAGATGCAGAAGATGCGTGGACATGATTATCTTGATGACTGCTGGTGATGCTGAGGATGCGTCATGATGATTATCATGTCAGTTCATCATCATCATCATCAGCATCATCACGGTGCTTATCATCATCATCTTCTTCGTCATTGTCCTTATCTTTTTTAAATATACGTTTCAAGTGTCCCGTTAGACCCGATTTGAGATGCAGAAGATGCGTGGACATGATTATCATGATGACTGCTGGTGATGCTGAGAAGGCGTCATGATGATTATCATGTCAGTTGGTGTTCATCATCATCATCATCTTCTTGGTCATCGTCCTTATCTTTTTTTATTTACGTTTCAATTGTCCCGTTAGACCCGATTTGAGATGCAGAAGATGCGAGGACATGATTATCATGATGACTGCTGGTGATGCTGAGGATGCGTCATGATGATTATCA